ACCGATACCCCGAGCTCGTGCCAATAGAGCAGACTCGGGAACGTTTCGCATCCTCTGGAAATAAATTCCCGCGGAACCAGATTAAAAGTTGAACCACGAGATCGATGGTTTATGAGGGTAATATCGTCGGAAATTGTTGATCGATACTGAAGCGTCGATACCGGTTCCTCCGAGCTTTATGAAGCAATAAACGCGAAGATTAAAACGTGCGCGGAACGCCGAACAAATCTTCTTGAAAGTCTTATCAGTTCCATCCTTTCTCACTTTCCAAGCAATCGACGCAAGAGCGCGGATTTCCGACGAAAGTCTATTCTAATTTGACGATTTTTTAAATTGAGATAAACGATGCATGAAAAGAGCTGTCAGAAATTAACGCGCGGAGAATTTAACAAGCGGCTAGCTTTAGGCGTAATTTATAATGGCTGCGGGGTGCGAGGCGCGTGGAATTCGCAGACAAAGCGTTTTAATCCTGCAACTCGCTATAAAATTCCTAGAACGACCGTTCCTCTCCTGCTCGAGCTATCCACGAGCTTGATTTTTCTTCAAGAAGTCGGGCCACTTTAAGTGTGTAAAATTAATAACATTTTTTTTGCAGTTTCTCCTTGGAAAAAAAATGAAACTAAAGGAATATTTCTCTACAAACACTTTCACGAAGAGTTTTTTTTTTCTTTTCTTACGAAAAATGAGATCTTTTATTCAAGAGCGTGCAATTTCCACAAGAATCAGCAATTTTTTTTTTAAATTCTACGCACTTTTCCAGTTAATTTTATATAAAAATTCTAAAAATCTTTTTCTTTCTCTCGAAATTTACGTCTCATTGAGACAATTCTAACCCAGTTATTTTGTAAAAGAAAAAGAAGAGAAAGAGAGAGAGAAGGAAGAAAAATACACAAATATTTCTCCGCACTTCTGTTGTAATAAAAGTTTTATTCCAAGTTTTCCTTCTTTGCAAGAAAAGAATGCAAAGGAATGTTATTAATTTTGCAAATCCAAGATGGTCTGGCCTCTTAGAGCACATTGAGTCCATTACTCATCTTTATCTACAGCTATACCGTTGCAATGGCTCATCAACGTTTCTAACGAAACAACAACGCCACTCGCTTCGTGATACAACGCAGCACGTTAGCAAGAGATTAAAATACTTTCTCATCGTAAAATGCGCGATAAAAGTGTCAGTTTTCTCGTGGTAATCAAATTCCCCACATTTTCACCCTATTTAATATATTATACCGTAATACGAAATATCTTCTTTATCTAGATTATATTAACATAATGAACATGGTTTGTACAATATGGTTTATAGGTTGAGACATAATAGGTGTTTGCTTGGAACATCATTTATATGAAATTAAATGTCGGTTTATATTCTGTTTGAAATACCGTTGAAAGCTTTTCAATATGTATGAACATACGCGAGACCCAATTCATCTTCCTTTATGAATTTAAATTCAGTTATCCTGTGGCCAAAGCCATAAATAATATAATCACTATATTCGAAGAGATTGCTAATAAAGAGCAATTGTTATTAAATCTCACACATATTATTCATCCTATAAATTCTATATTCTGGAAATCTTTCAAATTCTCTGTTCAATATCGGTAATATTATTATTATTATTACCATTATTGTTATTATTATTATTATTATTCTCACTTTAAGAGATTGCTAATGAAGAGCATATTATTCGTCTTTTAAATTCTAAATTCTAGAAATCTTTTAAGTTAGAAATACGAGCTTCGACAAAACAGCAATTAAGATTTCGTACGAGGCAAAACAACAATATTTTCTTAAAGTAGTATTGTATCTCGGTAGCAAAAATATGAGGATTTCAACAATACCGTATCTTCCATCTGAATCTGCATTATTCAAATCCTTTCATGTACGAACGTTCTATTATTCAAACAAAATATTTTTTAGTAACAGAACTTTTCTTGCTTCTTAACTTTAACTTAACTTTTCTTATTTCACATTATTATGCGTTTGATGTGTTTTTCTATAATTCACCAATCAAGTTACTAAAATATGAAATACAAGATTTTTGCCTCGAACTCGAAAAATACAATCAAACCAATCGAAGGTGATATCAACGAAGTTTTCATATTGTTGCCTGGCAATTATCGTGGCCGTCTATCGATCTATGAAGTCTTGGTTCCCAGCAAATACGTATACGACAGGGATATTCTGTGGCGAAACACGGGTATCGTTTATCTCGATGGGAAACTGTGTTACACGGTTGTGGACGTTCATGGAGTCGAGTTTACGTATTTATCCACGGGGGAATCAGGGACCAACTGGACAAAATTAGAAAACACTCTACAATCAGGAACAAAGGGCCAACTCCTTTGCGAGTTTCTTCGTAATAATGGAAAGATTGCACGCGAATAAAATGCAAGATTAAACGCATGTTCGATCCTGCTTGGATTTTTCAACTCTCAATTTCATTTATGTTTTTCTGAGGAATTTCGAGTTTGAATAAAACATGAAAAACGTTGACGAATATTTCCTCGAAAGGTCGCAAGTCTCTCTGTTTTTAAAATAAATAAAATAAAATTCGAGGATTTCAGCGAAGCGAAGAAATTGCATGAGGCAATCTGCTTTTCGAACTTAATCCAATCATAAAGTATCGGGGAATGGAAGAATTGGATAACTGCTAATGAATTTTCTTTCGTTCCACGATATCCGTTCTTGTCTCCTTCATCGATTTTCATAGTTCGTTAAATATGAAAATAGGAACGTTATCCGAAAGAATTTTAAATTACCTTCTCTCTGGATAGAACTATTAGTGAAAAATCGATGAAAAAAAAAAAACGAAGTACAGACAGGGTGAAAGAGGTAACATCAATAAACCGTAAAGAACTTAAGACGATAATCTATGGACATAAATCCCGCGTATTGATAATTCCTCTTAAGAAACATCTTGAATGAACGTTACGTATAAGCTGCAAGAGGATCAAGGTGAATAATTTTCTTGGCTGGCTGTTGGCTGACTGAGAATTAATAAGACCATTGCGAACCAATGTCCTGAAAGGATTCTCGCGTCTTAAGCGTATAAAAGCTGAATCGGCTAAAGCTAACCGTATTTTAGTCGCTGATCTGGTCGAAAATGATCGTGCTGGCTCAATTAATGATCACAGATGAAACATGAATATTTCAAAACTTTTTAATGGACGGGCACTTTTTAGCTAACAAAAACTAAAAAAATAAACTAATAAATTTCAATGTACATTTGCGTACGATGCTGGTGAAAATTAAGCTAAAAACACTTGACATTTTCTGGAAGATTTGTGTTCTTTTCTTACTCTTTTCTTACTCAAGTCATCAATAATCTTATTGACAGCCCTGCGTCTTTCCAGATAATAAATTTCAATGCCCGTTCGCGTACTTTGAGTAATATTCTATCGCGGAACGATTTTTTTATGAGTGATTTTAGATAGGAGGTATATAACCACGCTAATTTAACCTTCGATTGAATCTTTTTTTTTTTCTGAAATCGACTGTTTATTGAACGCTTAAATATTCATTTATTACACCTCTTTGTTTCTTTCTTTGTGTTACCTATACATTCAACTTTATATTTTTTCTTTGAAAATAATATTAATCAAATTTCAATTTTCTATATTCGATATATTTTGTTCATTGCAAAGTTATATTATAATTACTACTACAATTAAGACCTTTAGTAAATAATTTTGTGGCCCAGTGTTTCTATTTTCCAATTTAAATTTTTCATAAGTTCTAAATTTGATAATCATTTATCTGTCTCGATACATAATCTACCGTTTTGTAATAAAACAATTGACAAAATAACAATCATGAAGGATTTGACAAGTTTCAACCAATCGATTTCTAATAGATATTACGCATTCAACAGCGTTTTTACTCAAAAACCGTTTTGTGCGACCTTACACGCTTTTGAAATCTGTCATTTCGAAATGAAGTCAACAACTTTATTTTCTTTTTTTGTTTCTCAGTTGAAACACAAAACCAATGCCCGCTAACTACTAATAAATAAATAAACACTTCTTTTGATTCGCCTGTAATGATTTTGATTTGCCCTTTTTCTGAAGCTGCGAAAAGTTTCTCATTTAAACCGCTCTGATTCAATTGAAAGAATTGCGGAAGGCATTTTCCTTGAAATTACGTTTGCGGAAATTGAAAAAAGCTACCAGAATTCTACTAATGAATTCACTCGTACAGTTCTCCGCAGTCGAGGTTGTCGTAGCGCGATTAAACTGGCCAGGCGGATCGATACGATATTTGACACGTGTGGCTCGTTCCGTTTTATCAGTAGAAACGTGAACATCCACCTGCCTATCGTAGTATGGATCAATCGGTTCGAATTGGTCGCGGTTAACTCTCGTGGACGAGTTTTGCGCCAGCTGTTTGAAACTTTTAACGACATGCATACGACGTAGAACGCACAGAAACGATCGTCCAACGTTAATTGTCTCTGACGCCCGTAAATTATGCAAACTAATTTCAAAAGTCACGGACGAAAGATAAGAGGAAATTACAGAATTAAATTTAACACCGGTACCGTACGCGTCGGAAACGTTTAAAGTGGTTTTCCCGGAGAACGGAACAAAAGTATCGTACGCGCGATTTACACCTATGAATAACGTGACGGAGATGATCTTTAATGTAATACCGAGTCATCACGTCAATCTTTGCGACTTTCACGTTCGTCGACATGACGCGAACAGATTTTAGGATTTTTTTGGCAACCGCGTAATTTTGCTGGTTTGCTGCATTTGCAACATTTTGTTTGCAACTCCACGAGATCACAAATAAACGATAAATCTAACACTCGTGAAAATATAAATTTGCGTAAACATCGGCAAACAATCTTATCCTAGCAAGGTGAATCCAATTACGTTAATCCGTAATACGCGAATACGTTACATTACAGAGTTAATTTTTATCAATCCCTCTCCTTTTGCTTTCCCCAGTCAAATATCTTCTTTATATCCTGAACGTTTTTATGTCGTCTATTTTACAGGAGAACTTCTGCACAAATGATGAAAGGTCGGCATCAATTTCGTCGTCGTTTCAGTTTACAACCGTCGTCGCTGAAAGAGGGTCAGGAAGATGGAACGACCAAAAACGTTAGGTAAGGAGATTTATACTTCTCGGAGTGTCTCGAAATTTGTCTCATTCGCACTCGAGGATAAAAAAAGAAAGAAGATTTTTTTTTTTTTTCTCGTCCCTAAGGTGCTTTTTCCTCCTGTATCGCGGAGAACGGAGCTATAACCGCTTTTACGAGCGGTAACTGATTTCGTTCCTATCTACGCCAGCGGTCGCTAATTCGGAACAAACGAAAAGATTACACGGACCCAGGGGAAAGAACAAAACCCCTGTTCGGTGAGAAAGCGTTTCCCATCGTTCTCGAAACAGAGATTCCAAGTTTGAACCGCTCCTTTCTTCTCCCTCTATTTTTCTTCGCTCGTTCCCTCATCCACCCTCTTCGATCCTCTGACCTCCTCTTGACTCGCTCTTAGACCGGGCCGAGCTTTAATTTTGTGGCTAGTCTTGGCAAAAAGGGAAGCTCGCGCTCTTCTCCTTTGTGCGCTCGGTAATAACCGCGTCTGACTCCTCCTCGTAATAAGCGCGGATGATTACGAAGATACTTAGGAACAGTTGTTATCTAGTGCATGCAAAAGCACCGGTGCACCATCTCGCGCTCGCATACACCTTGTGCAGACCGAGATGTTCCAGGGAAGTAATACTGGCTCAAATTCAGGGCAGCCCTTACACAAAACGCGTATTCAATAACGCGTGGATCTCGGTGAAAGGGATCTTTAGCGTTCATTAGCACTATTCTTCGCCAGGACGTTGTCCCCTTAGATATCGGGCAATTGCCTCTCTTATTTGCATCCTTGTACTTTGTTCTTTTCCTCACAAGCCTACTGTTAATTGCCTTCCAAACTACAGAACGCGTTACGTAGAGAAAGAAAGAAATTGAATGTTAAACTTTTAATCACAAGTGTCAAGAACACAACTCTACCGAGTATGACCTATATAATTTATGTTAATTAATAAAATAACGGTGCAAGTACGTATAGTATACTTGTCTGTGACTATTTATTTCTAGATATTGTTTTTCTATTTTGCATCATCGTAACAAACATTCGATGATCCATTTACTGGTCATTCCGTGGCAATGAAAACAAGATCGCTTCAATAGAAAGAACATACAGTCAATCAGCAGTCTCATCTCTGTTTGATGATTATGTAATTCAACGTGCACAATGGGCAGAATAACATATTCTATCATAAAGATAAACGCTATGAGTGTGACCATATATACTATAATCACGAGATAGACTATGAACGTGGAGATATATTACGTCTTGAAATCACTAATATTTTCGTGGCCATTTCAACATAGACAGAGAAATATATTCCACAATTTAAAAAAATCATCTTCGCTTCTTTTTATAATTTGGTAGATTTTATCGAGGATGTTTTTAAACGCGTTTCAGAAATGAGAGACTGTCGGAATCGGACAGCGGCGGTGGAAAACAAGCGGAAAGTTCCATACGGCACAAAATCGTGGTGATGGGCGCGGCGAAAGTTGGCAAATCTGCGATAATCAACCAGTTTCTCTACAACACGTTCACGCCGAAGTACAAGCGAACAGTGGAAGAGATGCATCACGGTGATTTCAACGTTTCCGGGATACATCTGACGCTCGACATCTTGGACACGTCTGGCTCGTACGAGTTCCCGGCTATGAGAGACCTATCCATCAAATCCGCGGACGCGTTTATCCTCGTGTACGACGTACACGATGCTAACACGTTCCTCGAAGTGAAAACGCTCCGAGCCCAAATTCTTGACACCAAAGGCGCCGTGCCCATCGTCGTCGTTGGCAATAAAGTCGATCTGATTGACTCTGAGCAGGAGGTAAATTTTATCGTTGCCGAACTCGACGGTGTTGTTTCGTTTATGATTCTTGAATATTTGAGCTAGAATGTTTGAATTTGAAGGTCTGTATCTGTGCGAGCATTTGGAGCTGGATGTTTGAGTGTTCGACCCTGAGCATTCAATATTTGAATTTAATCTTGAGTATTCTCATTTGAAAGTTCTGATCCAGAAACTTGAGTTTGGAAATTAGTATTTCAACAATTATTTCGAATATAGAAGGCTCTGTATGTGAGTTCGGCTGTCTGAATCTGAACGTTAGAATTGAAAAGTTTATTGCTTTGCTGCACTTTATAGACTGAATTTAAGAATTGAATTTGACTTTCATTTATTTTCTACATCGCAGGTAGACACAGAGAGCACGAGAGAGCTGGTGGTCATGAAGTGGGAAAACGGTTTCGTGGAAGTGTCCGCCAAAGAAAACCTAAACATCTCGCAGGTGTTTAAGGAGCTACTGATCCAAGCGAAGCTGAAGTACAACCTGAGCCCAGCACTGAGACGTCGTCGCCGGCAATCGTTACCACCGCCGCAGCATTTGAACTCCCGCAGCAGCAGCACCCACGTCCCATCGCCAGCGCAGCTGCAACATTTGCAGCAGATTCGCGAGCGTTCCGAGTCCAAAAGGAATTCCTGCATTCTCTCGTAAAGAGCTTGGTCTTGTTATTACGTCTCTGCTGATACGAAAGTGGAAGGATTTTGAGAATCGAAAGACGAGGGCGAAGCTACATCGCGGCGATTCAATTAGCGATTCTGTTCGCTGAGATCGATCTAATACGTCCTATTCGATGGTCCAATGTCTTTGCGCGGCAAGCTCGACATACTTCGAGTCGATGGTCGAATATAAACCATCGAAAGAATTGCTAAAGGCGTCGTAAACGACAAGAACAAAGGCGAGCATTCAGCCGAAGAGTTCAGCATTGGCTGGTAATTTCTTCCTTTTCAGTGGTTGGAAATCCGATGTCGTTAGGATTCGAGAAAACTAAGCCAAAATGGAACCAGAATTGGGGATCTCGTTTGCAAATTTCAGGTCAGAAACGGAGAACATTTGCCGTATAGATTGTCTCTATTCGATTCGAAACCTCACGATCCCCGTACAGTTATCGTGTCGTTCTTGATTTTCGTGGTCGGGCCTTCGGGATTTAGCAAGTTTATTCTTGAGGAAACGATCCAATGAATTTCCATTACTCGATGTTTATCGTTCGACAATTCGATGTGCGTAGTGCGAATCAACGTACTTGATGTGTCTCTGTTTCGTCTCCGATTAAAAGATGCGTCCCGAAAATTGGAAACTCACACTACTAGGTAGAAGCAGACACCATGAAGAGATCAATGGAATACATTTTGCGATTACAGAAGTGCAGGTCGTGATAATTATTCCCTGTAACTTAGTCATTCGATTCTTTTCGCAGTCGAGAACACGTCCTTGTTCCCCTTTCTCGATGCAAAATGTTACAATTTCATTCGACATTACCGATCGAATGATGAAACTGAACCAAACGGTACAGCATAATTATTCCGAATTATCAAATCGTAGAATTCCAAGTTTACAGATATAACAAAATATCTTACAAAGAAATATCCTATTTCAGGGTTGTCTCCCACTGCCCACTCACTATCTTATTATCCATTTACAAACACGTACAACGGCCAAACAATATTTTGTAAAGCATTATTGGCTAGTCGATTTAATCTTACATCAAGCATTTGCCTACGCTGTTCTTTATATATCGTTTCAAATAAATCAATCGTTATTTGAAAAGAATAATTTCAACGTATTCGATCTATCGACCAAAACAGGTCTGCGACTGGATCGCGTCAAAAGGAATGTTCTATTCGTTGTTTACGACACGTACACTTCTAATGAAAAATATTGCAAACTAAAAAGCATCATTCTCCTATTTAATATGGAATATCGAATTATTTGTCAATTAAGATGTGAGCGTGAACTTATTGTACACGATTGCCTTGCCCGGAACCTGAGTTACCGTGAGTACAATAACGTTCAGGTAAAATGAACAATCACGTACAAAACTCTGATCGATTTGCAGATAGCTTTCTAAGTAGTATCGTTGTACTTGGTAAATTAGCTAACAAACGAGAAACTAGCGTAACGTACGATTTCCGTTTAACTGTAACTAGATAATAGAGGTATGCGTCTATAAATTTTAAAGGAAATACCGTGCAACGATCCTTGATTTTAAGAGTAGATGCAAAAGTTTATTACTTCGCGTTGTCGCATGATATATAATTTATCGTTTGAGAGTACCATGTTTTCGAATATATTATTCAGATACAAATCTAATATTATATAATATATAAATATATAAATATATAAATATATATATATATATATATATATATATATATACACGTTAGTATGAATGTAGAAAGTTTATGTAAATAACAAAACATTGTGATGTGGATATCTCGTTGAATCGAAACCCACATTGGGTATAATTTTACATAAATACATATAATTAAGCAGCCGCGAATCAACCACGTTATTTAACGCATTCAACGGTTATGAAATATCGCACATCACGATAAGAGAATAACATTTATTTAAGTGTAAAATGGCAGCTCGAGATCAAAGCTATTTAACCGTTCCGAATTCTCTACTATAGATGAAATTTTACGCTGAATTCATGTATTTACCTGATCTGTGCAACCACATTACTTCGTGTTACTTAGATTAATGTTAACCTAGACCAAACCGATTTAACGAGCATTAAACTACGGAAATTTAAAATAATTTCACGACGCGAACAACAGATCTACGTTACTACAGAGTTTCCAAGAGCAAACTGCACTTAACACGAGTGTAATTATTTTTAGCGTAAATCCGGTGAAAATGTGTGGTGAAAATTATTAAATAGTCTAAGCCCTTGACTTTATATCATTGCGTTACCGGATAATAAATAAAAGATGGATATCATATTCAACTTCCAAAACGATCTTGTTTTACTTCATTTTCTCCCTAAATCTTTCGTAATTTTATTTCCAACAGGAACATAATTTTTTGGCACATAGAAAACACAAGAAAACGTTCTTGAAAACTATATATCATGCAGATATGAGACACGTAAGATATATTTCTCTACCAATTTTATTTATAATAAAAGATTTATTATCTGATGGATCGATTTAACTTTTGGTTTACTGTCCTGTAAACGGTTTTAACAATTTTTTTCTAAAATATCTATAATTAAATACATTTAATTTTTAAGAAGAAAATTCTAAAACCTTTTTTTATTTTTAATAAAGAATAAAAAAAAACTTCATGAAGCAATAAGAGTACGTATACGATTAATTCGAACACATTACACACACAAATCGTGACCAATCGACTTGATCTTGTAGAGAAAAATATTTAACAAATAATTGAAAATTTAACTAGTTAAAAATTGCCTTTAAGAATATTTAATAAAAAGAATAAAACATATTAATAACTTTAGATTATTACTATGTGCAGGAATCTATCGTGAATCCATAAAAAATTTTATAAAATTAAACAAATTATAGTGTATCATATCTCTGGTGCATTCACTACTTGATCAACTTCAACCATTTTATTTGTAATACAAAGAATTTTATTTGTAACATGACTAATTCGGATTAATGATCCGATTCTAAATCAATGGTATAATTACTAATTCGTTTTCCACCGCGCCGTAGTATGTTAACTATACAGGGCGTAAGAAAACTTCAGACATAGACAAGGTATAGAAATGGACTAAGCATGCTACGGGATTTCGTAGCCCGTGATCTGAAATACCGATTTAGTAAAAAATCACTGGTCTTTTAGCGCACTCTATGTTCAAGCAACGATGAACTGTGGAACTAACTACATCACGTACAAAGATCAAAGTTGGTCAAAAAGTGAATGCGCCAAAAACATGATTATTGAAATCCATTACAGTCAAAACATTATCAAATTTTCAAAATCGAAATTTGGATATTTCATAGAATTTTCTATATCTAGCGCATTTCACGTACAATCTTCTTTTGTTGAAGTCAAAACGATTTGCGAAATTTAAATTTAACAAGACATATTTAATTACCATTAGGTATGATTCAGGCATCATTTCCATTAAATTCCACAATCCATGTTGTTCCATCTTTGATCCATCCATTTGGAAGTCGATAAATCTGAAACAGACTCATTTGTTGGATTAGTAGTATAAAAAACTTAACACGAAAATTCCACACCACTAAAACAGTCCCGACATTTGAAAGAAAAAGCGAAAGAATAGCCAGAAGGGCTAGACTACTGAAAAGGAAATCGCGATACAATAGCCAGAAGGGCTATTAGAAAGTATTTGCTCAACAACACAATAACCAGAAGGGCTACTGTACAATTATCTACATTAAAAATCCGAGCAACAATCCGTAGCTTGTTTCGCAACACTAATTCACTAGCACTAATTGTGAAAATAGCAAATTTTCAA